CATGAAGAGTTTTCAGGCAAAGAAGATGAACAAGGTGACTGATTTTTGACCTCACTATTATTTAAAAAGAATAAGATAAAAGAAAAAGTTGTGAACGAGCCTTGGTTTTTGGAGCCTACATACCCCGGGTTGTAAGTGAATCAGGTCACGTGTAGTTCAAGTAGAAAATGACTAATAGAGTATGCTTAGATGGAGAGTCGAGCGAAGTTCTGTCGAGGTTCCGATCTGCGGTTCCTACTATTACATAAAAATGAAAAGAAAATCACATATTCTTAAAATCTAAGAGTTACAAAATTCCTATCTAAATGTCATCTGGAGTCTTGCCTTGATTCTTGACTTGCCTCTCCCATTGACTTTAGATTGAAACTTGATGCTCTCGACGCAACAAGCTATGAAATATTCTCGCAGGCTTGTTTTTCTTGATCATATGATGGGAAGATGGATCTTGACCATATGTCTCTGCATGCACTACGTCAAAGCTGGTTGCGGCTGATATTAAGATCAAATGTTCCACTTTCTCTGGCAAGAGCTGGAATCCTATTTTTTTGCACATCCAATCCATGCTTTGCAGAAAAACCTACAAGCCACCATAAACCAACAAAACGAACAAATATTTTCTGCCCCAGTTTGCACTAGGAAATTTTTGTGAGTTATTGAAAACACATTAAACTATTTTTGCTATTGCAGAGTAAGGAATTGAAAAAAATATTTCCTTTTTTTTTTTATAAATAATAGGGGATGGCGTACCCTGTGTTAATAAGAAGGAAGGTCACCAGGGGATATAGTACCCTGTGTTGACGATAAGATGAGGCTCGTCAATAAAACATTTCTTTTTTTATTGGAACTAATAATTGTTTTGTGGGACAACACTAAGCCATTATATATTTCTCAATGTAGAAGAGGATTCCAGAGAAATAATAATCCTGCAAAGTCAAATTTAACTAAGCGGATGATATAATTATTGTGGTCATTTCTCAAGCGAATCTTATGGCTAATGATGTAATAAAGTTAATTTTGTGTCCTACACCGAAGTTGAAGAACAAGAAGAATAATTTATTTATTTTGGTGATTCAAGAACTACTCAAGTTCTCGGAATGGAAAATTTCTTTTTAATCTCACTTCTGAAAAATATTGGCATTAGTTGGGCGATCCATAACTCTAATATTCGGGCAAATTTGGTTCCTGTAGAATTGTTAGGAAAAGTTAGAGTGAAAATTTTCTTTGAGAATGATGGGTTGCATCAAATAAAAATAATTTTTTTTATGGGCAGTGAGTATTGTAATCATGATTTGTTAATGTTTCTTACTAATTTTAAAATAAATGTTGAATATGTTAGTACCTGTACTTACTTAAAATAAGTGTTTATGATGACATAATGTCGGTAGCTATACATAATTGTTTGAGTGAAACTATATGTTGTTATTTATATCTACTTATTATTTAGTAAGTTATTTTACAATTAATAGAGTCAAACTAGCCGTTACTAGCTGTTAACTAGTCGTTGGAGCAACACATATATAAACATGGTCTTTGAAGAGCTAAAGACACACTTTCTAATACAACTTTCTGAATCATCTTCTTCCTTCTATGTGCTAGATTTCTTTCTTGAGTTTTCTGCTAGTTCTGTTCCCAGTTTAATAACTGGAAGAGCTTGTTGAATCCTGGGGGATACGCCTAATTTCATTTATCACTGTGTGGACGAAATATCCTTAAAGACAGTGTCCTTGACATGCCTCAAGCTAAATCTTATTCTCCATAATCATCAATATTTTTTTACAACATATTGTACACTCTGTAAAAGACACGCTAGTATCATTTTGGCTTTCTTCTTCTAAGAACAGAGATCTGTTTCTCTCAAGTGTGGGTTCATTTGCATGTCTCCTTCTTCGAACTTGATCTCTAGATCCATGGCAGCTAACAACATACAATAGACCTTTATGGTCTTACCCCTTCCCCGGACCCTGCGAATAGTGGGAGCTTAGTGCACCAGGCTGCCGTGTTCACTATATACATTAATATTCAAGCATTATCCTGTGAAATCTATGATTATTCATAATCATATCTTTTCAAAACTTAATTCAGAGAAAGAAACCAAGTTCTTCACCCTTAGAAAAACCTCTGAATTATCAACTTAATTAATATATGAGCTGAAAAGATTCATAAGAGAAAAGACATATATCTACATAAGTCAACTGATATTTAATTAAATATTTAATTGCAGGAGTATCCCTAAATATCTGCTGTGTTTATTAGAAAAATACATTTTTTAGCTTTCAGTGGAAGTATTAAATGTTTAATTAGCAGAAGCATCTTTTCCACTCTCATTATACTGGAAAAAATAATAATAATCATGAGGAATTTTGCAAATGGATTTCTAAAATAATAAACTGATTAATTAATTGTGCTAATATCGTTTATGCAATCTTATTAACTTGAATCATACTGTGGGCGGTTTACTCTATATACTACTAAAATTGAGTTAAACACTACAAATTACGACGTACAGTCAGATCTCTTTATAACAGCCTTGTTTTTCGAAATTTTTTGGCTGATATAATAAAGTGTTACTATAGAGAACATATATTTTATAACATAAAATAAAATATTGGTTCCAAAAAAACTTGACCGTTATAATAAATTATTGTTATAAAGAATAGCTTTTATAGAGAGGTCTGACCACATATATTATACAGTATTATATATGAGCCCAAGAAGACCAACTAGACAATTATGGTATTGTTTATTGCGTTAGAGAATATTGTTGTTTTAGTTAAAAAATACTTATTAATACTTGTTCAAAATCAAATTTTAAGGGGTTGTTTGGTAGGGTTTATAAGAATAGTGCGGAATAAGGTGTATTGATAATGCATGTGTTAGTAATGCAAGCATTAGTTATGCAGATATTATTTCTTATCTACTATTTGGTATGGTGTATTAAAATTATAATGCATTGCATAATTTTTAAGAAAAATAGTTGTTTACAAAAATGTCCTATCTATTCTCTAGCTTTAAGGGACTTTAAGGATAATTTTGTCTTTAACCATACTAATGCATGCCTTAATAGCCATGGAATTACTAATGTCATGGTTTTCTATGCATTACTTATACATAGGATAATACCAAGTATGATGCATCGAGCTTGTATTAGTTATACACAGGTTGAAAAAATATATCAAACAAAATATTATTGATGCATAGAACTAATACTTGCATTATTTTTTTAATACCTCGTATCAAACGACACCCTAAGTGTGTGTCCTGTGCTGTGAGAGTTGAGCATAGGACAGTTTGGGCAGTTTCTTTTTTTGGTCAATTTTAACAGTTTTCAGTTGATATTAACTTTTTTTTACATTGACAAAACAGTTAAATAATTTTGGTTCGAATGTTAACATTTCAACTTGAGACTTCTGATTAAAATTTAAAATGAAGTGACCAAAAATAGTAGTATTTAATATGGTATATTAATAATGCTGGAATTATTTTTTATCGACTGTTAGTTTGATGGTATTGCCAATGTCATTGTTTACAATGTATAAGAATAATACTGAATAGGCTGTATAATATAACTAATACTTATATTAGATATACATAGGTTGAAAAATACTACTACCAAATAAGGAATTAATAATACCAAAGCTAATACAAGAGAATCCTTAGAGTTTGTAGCATTAAAATCTTTACGGAAAAGGGCCAAATATACCCTTATACTATCAGAAAAGGTTTAAATGTACCCCTCGTTATATTTTGAGTCCAAATACATATACTATTGGTTCAAATATACCTTTTTCCGTTAAGCTTTTCCAAATTGGACATCCAATCCTACGTGGCACTAAGATTTGATGAGGTAGCTTGCCACCTCAATGCCCCTAACCCATTTTACTCTTCCCTTCTATTTTTTTTTCCACCACTATTGTCACCATTACCGCTATCATAAAAAATATTGCATTTCAATTTTTAGTTTTTTATATATGGATTATGAGTGCTGAGGTGGCATGTCACATATCATTCACCTTATCAAATATCAGTGCCACGTAGAACTAGATGTCCACCTTGGACAAACTTAACAGAAAGGGGTATAATGAACCAATAGTATTATGACAGGGGATATATTTGGATCTAAAGTATAATGAAGGGTATATTTAAATATTTTCTTATAGTACAGGGATATATATATGGCCCTTTGCCGAAATCTTCATCATAGCTAGCAAATATGTTTGAGTTTGACAACTACATCTCAATCCCAAGTAAATTTGGATCGAATATATGAATTCTCACTGACCATACTGTTAAATTCAATCTCATCTCAGACATAAATATATATGACATAGCCATAAAATACCCACAAATTTAGTAAGTATCTCAACATCTTCACATAAAAAGGGAAAAAGAATCCTAAAATCTAAAATCAGTCCTATGCTCCTCCACAGTAGGATCTTGATGTCTGATACTTAATTGATGATGATTTTCATTTTCAATATTTTTTTTTTGATTTGCATCGGGTGTCCGAGTCTCTTCGAGCCCCGACTATTCCCGGGGATGCACAGGCCCTCGACAAGGAGTTCCCCGCAAGTGCACCACAGTTAATTCAGGTTTTATCCAGTCCGATGGCCCTCAGAAATTGTTTGCACCCAGTGGGTTTCGAACTTGAGACCTTGAAAGGGAGCAAACCCCAAGGCTCAAGTCAATTGCCACCAGGTCAACCCCTGAGGGTTAATTTTCATTTTCAATATTGCAAGCATAATATATCCAAAAGAAGACTAATCCCTAATACTTACAAGGAAATTGGATATACTATTACAACAAACCCAATGTAACCCCGCATATGGGGTTTGGGGAGGGTAGTATGTACGCATACCTTACCCTACCTTGAGAAAGTAGGGAGGCTGTTTCAGGTAGACCCTCGGCTCAGGAAAGATAACAAAGATAAACAGATAAAAAGGCTCGGGAAAGGTAAAAAGGAAAGAGTAACAACAAGCAGGAAATTGGATGTACAATACGCGTAAAATATCAAGTGATCATAGATCTCCAAGCTAATTGAGCATAAGATCCCGATTGAAGTTTGAATAGGAACAGATCAAAACTTAGATAATATAAACCTGAGTAGCTTTGATATGCCAAAAAATACTTCATGCACTATGAATCATTACTGCTATTGTCAATATGATACAAAGCTTGATATGCTTCGCGGACCAATGGCTTCATTCCCTAATTAACTAACAATATAATTAGTTCACATGATCTAGAAAATCACAAGGAAGTTCAACCCGGTTTAACAGTCAACCACCAGCTCAAAACCTCTGAAGCAAGCTCAACTCCTACTTCTCTATCTGACCTGCAGAAGATATAGCAAGAAACAGTCAGAACTCAACAGCTGGAACAGCATCGGATCGAAACACCATAGGGATTGAGCAGTTGAAAAAGGAACAACACTTCATCTTCAAGAAGAAAAATATATGGATCAAGCATCCANCCACACTTTTTAGGTTTCTCCTCATCAAAGCCTTAATTTTTTTTTAATGTGAGAAATCCCCGAGGGTCAGCGGTACAGGGTAACCAAGTGGATTATGCCCCCAAACCCTTCTCCACTTAAATACCATGCTTTTGTCTGCTCTTGTCTGCAGCTACGTTTGAACTCATGACGTGCGTCCAACCCACATACCATGCGTTGTGCTCTTGCTACTAGGCCAAAGTCTGAGGGGAGGGCGTGGCAGCCTAATAGTAGTTTCAGTAAGATATTTAAAGCCAAGAGAAAAAATGGAGTGATATATCGTTGCATTTTGCCTTTGGCTTTTAGGTTCCATTTAAGACCTCCAAGAATTTAGCACCCTTTTCAATGAACTAAATTTCCTCTTCAAGATGGACCACTAGAACTCCTCCTGTATCTTATAGTTAAGCTTTGAAAATGCCAACCAACCATCTTAAAGAGATGTGTCTAGTTCTTCAACTCCGCCTCCTAAGAGCAAAGGGACTCGTTAGTCATGTTTTTGCCTCTTCTTTTTCCTCATTACTCTTATCTGTTCATTCCTTGCTACTTCCGGAAGATTGAAAACAAAAGAAAGATAACTCAACTGTCTAGCACTGCAACTACTGATATATGAATTCTAAATCCTCCTCACGTCTTAGCTCCTGAACAGCAGCGGCTCTTTATCCCTTCTTATAGAATCCAACCCCTTCCTTCACAATAATTACCTCAAAAAGTCCTCACTGCATATCCTTGAAACAGATTTCAAGTAGCAATTTTTCCTACATGACAAGTCTAGAGCTTAGGCTGAATGGTTTCATGAAGAGAAATGAGAATGGAGTAGCCTTAGTCATCCAGCTGAAAGGTCTCTCACTAGTTGTCAATACCTAGAAAAGAAAGCATGAAATTCTAAGGACAAAAAAGTACCACTCCACCAGGATTGATATATGCATGAGCAAGCATAGGAATTTAAGCTCTGGATTTATCTGCCTGTTCCTTATCATCTCAACCTATATGACTCTTTTCTTTATCTGAATGACTTTTGTCTATTCCCACATTAAGTAAATGTATGAACTCTGAAAATACGTCAACATTACAGAATAAACTGTAAAGTACTAAACTTTTTGCATATTTTTTCCACCATTATCTCAGAACTAGACCTGCAGGTACAGAATATTTTAGCACCAAGAGCCACATTAAACTATGGAGATTAAAATGACAATGGAGTCCTTTGCGACTAAGATTATATGCATCAGGGGAGATTTTTTATTACAATGGTGTCCGATTTCTGAGCCAGCTTACACGCACCTCAAGTTCTCCCACCAGCACAGGTAGCAACAGGGGAACTTTGACCTTCACCGACAGAAATTCTTAACCTCAAAATGAGGATCTACCTTAATTATTGATCCTTTGAAAACTCATTTTTATCAGGTAAAATCAATCTTGCTAGATGATTTTCACCTAAGACACCCCGAGATCTTTGAATTCCCTACAACTTATGTAGCGCGAACTCTTCAAAATGCTGCTGCACCGGTGTTGGATCCTTCCAAAAATGCACTAGTTTTGGAGGATCTGACACGCACCCGACCACATTTTCGGAGAGTCCGAGTAACATAGCCTGCAACGCCAGGTGGAAAAACTATATGCACCTTCCTTAATTTTGTTAAAAGGGTGAATGCTCAAATAACTAAATCGCAAAACCTATAACCTCGCTGCTATAAAGCTCCTCACTTTAATAGCTGATCTCTTGGCTCCCCTGGGAAGGTAGGGGGGAGGGTGGAGGAGATATCTTACTCAAAATTAAACCTCAAAGTCAAACTCATCCAACTAATATATCTATTAGGAGTTCCATTCACTACATAAGTCCCTGCTCTCAGCAAAATGTGCATATCAAGATTCAATCTTTCTGCTTCAACTATATATATATATTTTTTTTTTTTTATTTCTCACCCAGTATCCGGTACCCACATTGGGGCCGACTACTCCGGATTCACGCCGGAAAGTCCCACATTGGGGTAAAGCGCTCCCTAACAGGGACTCCATACACAAGGGCTAGAACTTGAGACCTCCGGTTAAGGATGAATCAGAACTTACCACTCCACCACGACCCTTGTTGGGTGCTTCAACTATATATACAGAAGATACAGGATAATATAATGAATTCTAATTGGAAAAATTAACCATAACACGGAAGAAAACAAATGCTAAAGCAAGAACAGAAGCTCCTTAAATTTCCCATTCAGGGAAAAAAAACTATTTTTTTATGCATATCGAATGGACCAAGTTGAAAACACACACACACACACACACAAAAAGGTGAATACAAAATCAAGAAATGAGCTTTATGAGTTCCCTTCATTTCCAGAAGATTAATAAGTTTGTAAGTTTAAAAAATGAAAATAAAAAAAGGGATTGTTTGTCCTTTACCTTTGTTGGGAGGAAAACCATCTTCCTGAAAAATGCAGTAGCAATGCCATGGCCAAAGAAGTTAGTTTTGGTCCAAACAAACCCTAACTGGTCAAAGTGTTTTCACAAAAAAAAGGAGAAACACAGAGTGAGAAAATGCATTCAAACAGATCTTAAAAACACACACACACACACACACACACACTATCTCTCTCTCTCTCTTCTTGAAAAAAGATTTGTTCTTTCTCTTTTATTATTTGTCTTGTTCCATTAAAGGCAGAGACAGTTTTAACAGTGAACACTTCTCCTTTTTTTCTTTTCTTTTTTTCTTTTTTCTGTGTGTGTGTGTGTGTTTGGGGTTTAAGAAGGGGTTTTTCATTTTCCCCAGGTGCACGAATTACGAGGAAAAGAAAAGGGTGCCAAAGTTGCATAGGGAATAATAATATGTTGAAACGGCTACTGCCTACACATTGCAACGCTCGTAATTTTCAAAAGTACGCCAAAGAATTTATTTTATGGTACTAATATATTATCTTCTATTGTTTTTTTGAGTCGAGGGTCTCCCGGAAACAGCCTCTCTATCCTTTGGGTAAGGTCTGCGTACATATTACCCTCCCCACCCCACTTGTGGAATTATACTGGATCGTTGTTGTTATTGTTGTTGTTGTTGTTGAAACTTTAAAAAACTCCAAAAACTATTTTTCAAAATTTTACTCAGATTACTAACAAAACTTTAAAAATAATCGAAAATTATATTTATGTCCAAAGACAATTCTAATTTTCAAATACCATTTTTAGTTGAAAATTTTACACTTTTTTTTTTGAATTTTACAATTCTTATGTCCAAACACCCACTTAATCTTCAGAAACTGAAACTGTTTCGGTACTTATATTTTTGGCTATTTGAGAAAAACTCCCAGCATTTTTATTTTCTATTATTATGAAAGAAAAAAAACCTCCTCTAGGACAAAGGTAAAGGGATTGTCTAGTTTTGTAGACAAAATTATATAGTAATAATAATAATATATTCAATTTAATCTCACAAGTAGACACCGGAGAAAGTAAAGAGTACACATCTTTACCTCATCCTGTGCCGATAGAGATGTTGTTTTCGATGGATCAATGACTTAAAGAAAACACATATAATCACAATAGTATTGAGAAAGAAACAAAATAATTAAAAATCATTTGTCATTTGTTTGTTTTATTCATGATTAGCTAATCCTTGTACTGTAATTTCACATTAAATATGCTATAAAATAAAATTATGATATAAAATAATCTTGGAATTGTTTTTTCAAAATTAAAAATTCCAATCAAATACGAGATAAAATAATATCAAAGTTATCTTGGGGTTATATTCTTCATCCCTGATATCGTACGACCCACTATGGTTTAACAAAGTGGATGACCCTTCTATATTTACATACATAATTTTTCTTACTATTAACTTATTTACGTTAAAGAACAAACCAATAAATGCGCATGCACCTGCTATTATATGATGAATTCACTCTATTGTACGCAACTACTTATAAATAGTTGACTCTAGACTCGGGTAATTGATGATGGTTGTACTGTCTTAGACCGGGGGCGGACCTAGCTCATAGATATGGATTCACGTGAACCAATTATCTTTTTGTTCCGACTGTACGTGTATTAAAATTTTTTACTTAATATTTATAAATATTTGATTGTGCTTTCAGAATTATTAATTTGAAGTTACTGTAAGAACTAATAAACTTCGTATCTTAATCATTCTCCGACGATGTCGTTTGGTAGGGCGTATAAGAATAATGCTAAATAAGGTGCATTAGTAATGCATGGGTTAGTAATGCAAGCATTAGTTATACAGAGATTATTTCTTATGCATTATTTGGTGTGGTGTATTAAAAATTAAAATGCATTACATAATTTTTAAGAAATTTAATTGTTTACAAAAATGTCCTCCATATTCTTTAACTTAAGGGACTTTAAGGATAATTTTGTCTTTAAACATGCTAATGCATGCATTAATAGCCTTTGTATAGCTAATGTCATGGTTTTCTATGCATTAGCTATACATAGGATAATACCAAATAGAGTGTATAACTAATGTTTGTATTAGTTATACATGAGTTGAAAAAGTGTATCAAACAAAGCATTACTAATACACAAAGCTAATGCATACATTATTTTCTCTAACATACTCTACCAAACGACCTCTTAGGGGTCGTTTGGTAGGAGGTATTAGAAAAAATAATGCAAGCATTAGCTCTATGCATTACTAATACATTGTTTGATATCTTTTTTCAACTTGTGTACTTGGCATTATCCAATGCATAAGTAATGCATAGAAAACCATGGCATTAGTAATACCAAGATTTTAATGCATGCATTAACATGGTTAAAGACAAAATTGTCCTTAAAGTCCCTTAAAGCTAGAGAATATGGGGGGCATTTTTGTAAGCAACTATTTTTTTAAAAAAATTATGCAATGCATTATAATTTTAATACACCACACCAAACAATAGATAAAAAATAATATTTGCATAACTAATGTTTATATTACTAATACATACATTATTAATATATGCATTACTAATACAATTTATTTCGTACTATTCTTATACACCCTACCAAAAGACCCCTTAGTGTAAAACTGACTTTATTGCTTGATTTCACCAGACCAGAAAGTAGATACTACTATTGCCTAGGCAAAGATTTGCATTGGTAATTTACAACTTTGTGTTGGATCCATAACTTAAACAGCCTAAGGTTCTTTGATATGTTTGGTACGATAAAAGTTATTTTTTAGAAATATTTTCATATATTTCTTGAAATATTTCCAATACTTGAAAAATATTTTTAGACGGTGGGGAGGAAATGATTTTTCTCTCAACAATGTAGGACAAAATTCATTTTCTTTTATAATTGTCTAAAAGTGTTAACTTTCATATTACTTGTTTATTAATCTTTAATACTTGAAATTTTCATCAAAACACTACTCAGATTTGCTAATGTTGTTATTGATATGTACACGAGTGTTTGCGAGAGAAGGATGCATAAGAACCCATCTCTAAGATCTTCAACGGCAGTCCAGTGCACAAAGCACCTTGCATTCACGCAGGATTCAGGGAAAGACTACACCCCTAGGGATGTGATTAGACAACCTATCTAATGCAAGCATTAGTGACTGCTTCCATAGCTCGAATCCGTGACCTATAGTTCACACGGAGACAACCTTACTATTGCTCCGAGATTCCCCTTCTAAGATCTTCAACTATATAGATCATTTTTCAAGAATGAAAACTATAAGGTTAATTTTCCATCATCCAACAGATAAGGAATAATATCTTCCCTATCATATCCAAGTACAACACTCGGAAAGAGACTAGTTTCACTCTTTGTGCACCATCCTCTTGGGATTTCAATCAAAGAGTGATGTTACATAGCACTTCAGCTAGACAAGACAAACATCTCAAGAGAGATCATAAGCCAAAACTTTATAAAGAATTTAGCAAATGAGAGGATGACTAGTGCATGAATTACTAGTGCATTTCAAAGGCAACAAGCCCACAATAAGCAGGGGAATGTCACATGCATATAACCATTTTAGGATGATAACCAGAAAAGAAAGGTGTAGTGTTAGCAAAAACACTAGCCAACATACGCAAGCTATGATACATATTGAATGTCGGAACTCGGAAGGCATGAACATATAAAATAGACAGCAATTCACTCAGATCAGACCTGTTTATTTCAAGAGGTTTCAGGAGAAAATTTCCTTTTTTTTATCAGTTTGGTTGCAGGAACAAGGTTAAGCATGAGTAACTAAAAGACCTTCAAATTGTTGTCATTTCAAAACAACCTCGTACCCCAACCCCAACACAACCCCCACGAATCACCCTTCCACAAAAAGAAAAAACAAAAGAAATCCGAGGGGGATAGGGAGTGCTTAACTTAATGCTGCAAAGACAATACCACCACCAACACAACTACGAAATGAAGGTAAAGATCAATCAAAGATATTAGAGTACAGCAAGTTCATTGCAGCACCTCGTTTATCAGGTCAGAGTTACTTTAGACAAGATACAACTACCTTTACAAAAGAAAGGTGCAAAATACTGAAATAGGGCTCTGTTTCTAGTTTTCCCAATACTTTAAGCTATTTAACAATGAAGGCAGGCATCAGTAATTAAACCGATCAGAAGGAAAATCCCCGTAAGATTGTCATAAGATTGCAACAGCAACAATCTGGCTTCAATGCAACATAGCATTAACACTTCAGGCAGCCAAAATAATCAACCAACGGAGAGGTATATAAGAACTCAATTATTTGAGACATTCAGTACTATATATGAATCCAGTGTTGAAGTGCAATACAAATGTTTTTTTTGAATGGTTACACCAATAAACCTTGTTTAAATGGAAAAAAAAGGTTGCGATAAAAACTCGCAGAAAGAGAAGTACTAACAGAAATATGTTGCTTTGTCCACTTCTGCAAACAAAACGTAGATCATGCCACTAGCCAACGTCGAATCTAGTGTCAAGTGAGATAAAAAGCTAAGTAAGAAAGCGCAGCATAACCAAAGTGCTATCAAAATTGTAAAATCCATAACTTGGTCAGACAAAAAACTCGACATGATAAAGACCAAGTTCTCAGTTTATGGTTTTCTTGCATATCGAAGATAGCACAAAATGCCTACAATAGCAACTGCAGCAACTGAAGATACAGCCACCACTGGCAAGCCTACTTTTACACCCGAAGATCCAACCTTATTCTCCGCTCCTGGAATTCCATTAACATTGCTGTCAACATCTCTGTCATTAATCAAAGTTTCCTTCTCCTCTAACTTCTTCTCCAACTCAGCCACTTTACCCATCATCTCCGTTATCCTCTTCTCCAACTCATCTTTCACCATATGAAGTGCCTCCTTCTCCTTTTTCCATGCCTCATTGTTCATCACAGCAGCCTCTAAATCCTCAATCTTCTTCTTTAAGCCCCTAATTTCTTTCTCCTTCACTTCTACTTCAGCCCTCTGATCATTTCCACTAGCTTCCAACTTCTCGACTTTCAACAATAACAAATTCCTTTCACTCTCAATGGCACTCAATTTCCCACTCTTCTCATCATCACTACTCTTCAACCCCCCCAGAGCCAACTTCAGTTTCGACAACTCTGAATTCGATTCTTCTAGATCGTTCATCGCACTTATGAGATCGTGCTGCAGTCGCGAGTGTTCGCCCTCGAGCTCTGCTGCGCGGGCAGCTACTGATCCTAAAGCCTTATTCTCCGACTCAAACTTCTCTGCCTTCTTCTGTAACTCAACCTTCTCGTTCTCCATTTCCTCAA